TTAGGTTTGGGGAACTTCTCTATTTAAGGAGGTGGTTTATTCTCCTTAATCATCATGATCATAATTCAAAAATACTTCTCCCCCACGTCTCTCTCTTTCTTCTCCCCTAAACCCTAGTGCTTCGGCACTCTCCTTCTTCCCCTTGCCGCCCGCGGCAGCCTCGCCAAGGTACACGTGAAAAATAGCGTGTATCAATATGTTGCACAAATTAGGGGACATTTGGGGTTTTGGTTGGAGCAATGCTAATTGCTAGGTTCACAGACAGAATGATCACAAACTTTACAAAATTGTTATTTATGATTTAAATTCTCATTTTAAAATCATTTTAGACTACTTTATTTTTTATTGAAGTTCACAAATAATAAATTTGTGAAGTATGTTATCGTTGTGTCTATGAACCAAACATTTCTCTTTTGGTTGGAAACCCCAATTACCAAATACTAATTATGTTGGATTTTATTTATTTTAAGTGTGAGAAAATTAAACAAATTAGCGAGGAGAAAGAAGAAAAGAAAATGTGATAGGTGTGGTCGTGAAAATAAACGAGATATGCAATGTAAAAATTATGTTCTCTATTTTTTGCACTTTAGTTTTCCTCCCATATCGCGTCCGTTGTATTTTGGTGATTTTTTCAACATCTTTTTCGGGTTAGTTGCCCAGGTTATGGAAGTGTATTTTTGGTCTTGCTAGTTATGGGCATATTTACAGTATTTTGCTTTCACATTTGTTTTTTTTGTTGCTAGACAACATTCAGCTGTCTTTCTTTCATTCTTCTGTTAATCAAATGTGTTAATTCACCATTTTCACTTACATGTATATGTGGGTGTGTGACCTCAGGTTTTAAGGGACCGATCAAATATTTTATGAGTGAATTTAGTTGTTTGGCGCTCCTCTGCAATGCAAAAAAAAAAAAAAAAGATTATATTTTTTTAGGAGGGATGGGTATGGAATGTTATTTTATCTGTTCTTTTACTATATATGTCATACACTAAAGGACACAAAAACCAATTAGGGCACTCCCAAAGCCCCAAACCAGATATACCCACCCACCTACTCACCCCTAGAGCTCTGGGGAGCAAGTTATAAACTGCGGGATTGCACTCGCTGCATCTTCTATAGAGTATGTGCACTTTTGAATTGCAGTGGGTTCAATACGAGTTGAATCTCGCAAACAATTGTCATTGCAACAGGCTATGAAAGATCATTGTGTTGAAAGGTTATTTTAAGTACAAGTAGTGTGTATTTTGTTTGACAAGGGCCACAACTTGGCTATAAGTGATGTCAAAAGTTAAGATATGAAAGCATAGTTGGGATCATATGCATGAGTTTAATCATATTCATATTTAGTTATTGTGAAACAAACTCTTCAACACATTTCCATTTTCATCCTCCAGCTATCATTCTTAATGGGCATTATGCTCCATATGTAGTTCTTGGGAAAAGCTAAAGCTATTGCAACCCTACATTTGACACCAACTTTCACATCATAGTGTGGCGCACACATCAGACACATAGTTCCCGCATAGATAATTATTGTCTTTGTGTGTCCGTGTGACACTATAATATCAAATGTGGTGTCAAATGTGAAGTTTTCCTAGCTTTTTTAGTTTGGGATGAAATGATTGAAATTATCTTCAATTTAATTTTATGTCTAATACAGTGTATAAAAAGTTCCAATCTTTTCTGTTACACACTTTGTATGATTTAGAATACTTTTTCTCAAAATGGACAAAGTCTTCAATTGACTTTGTTTAGGTTTATTATGGATTTTTATATAAGCCAGATAACATTTGCTTACTATGGAGATACGCATTTTTTTATTTTTTTTTTTCCATAAAAAAATTGTGGGTAAGTCCATGATAGAACTTTTCAAAATTATCTTTTGGTTTTGTTTTATAATGTTTGATTGAAACTCAAATCAATCTTCAATTATTTACAAGTGCAAAGAGAAAAAAAATTAAAGAATCAAAAGCTTCTCAGTTTAAAAGAATTATTTATAAAACCTTTAGACCCGTTTGGTACATGAAATTTAAATTATGAAATTAGAATTGATGAATTTAATTCTATGGAATTGATTTTCGTGAATCAATCTTCAATTATTTACAAGTGCAAAGAGAGAAAAAATTAAAGAATCAAAAGCTTCTCATTTTAAAAGAATTATTTATAAAAACCTTAGGCAGGGTCTCCATAATCGAACACCAGATCTCTTAGGCTATGGAGACACCTGCCGACCGCCTGAGCTAGAGGATTCTTGTGTCATACATTGCATAGAGTGATTTTATATAATATAATTCTTAATTAAATTTTTTTTAAATGATTTCTTTTTATAAAGCATTAAAAAATATAATATTGTAACAATAATTTAAACTTCTAACTACTCCGTATTCTAAAAATACATAGTACATATCAATGAAAAAATCAATTTAAATAAGTTTTGAAAATATTTGACAAATTATTGAAAAATAAAATCTCTTTCTATTTTATATAATTTTTAAATATTTCATGGTATATAATTTTATCAATTTTATCAAATTTTCAAAAATATTTGAACCACTGGTTCAACCATTCGAACCACTGGTTCGACCAGTGAACCAGTACCTCGACCGGTTCGATCACCGGTTCGATTCTGAAAACTATGATTTCGTGTACCAAATAGACCTTTAAATTTTTCAAGAATGTTTCTATGGTGCACTTAGTTGCATATCATTTTTGTGCAAGCTTAAAAGTTTTTAAATTTTAATTTTTAATTAAAATAAATGTTCATCAACGTAGTTAAATTTGCTTATTTGTCTTATATGTAGATCCATGGTGAATTTTAGGTTCACCATTAAATTTTCCATTTGCACCTGCTCCACTAACTTATTTTCAAACTAAAAATGACATTTATGGCATTCATTCTCTACCTAATAAAGTTTCACTCTTTTATTTTTCACTTTTAATTTCCCTGGTTATACAAATAAATAAAATGACAAATGTACTCTCCATCTCAAACTAAAAAAACTTCATTTATATATTTGTAAAACCAAAATTTTTCTGTTATTCTTAAAAAAAATATGTGATTTGTTTTAATTTGAGATGCAGAGCGTATATATTATTTTAATTATTTGTATGAACAAGGAAAAATAAAAATAAAAAAGTGAAACATTTCTTTGGACCCGAATATTTCGGACGTCAATTTAATTTCCATATTTACCCTTCTAGAAAACAATCATTTCCTTTGGAAAAAATGGCACTGGCGTACCGATGCCGTTGTTATGTGTGAAAAGAGCTCCGTAATTAATAACCAAACTTTATTTTTAACTTCTTTTTTCCTTTTCCTTTATTTAACATTTTTTTAAATATTTTGCTTCTAAAGACTTAAGACTTAGGATTATGGAATCATCTCCCTTGTCATTCTCTACTATTTACGGATCAATTTATCTTTTTTGTTATATATTTAATAAAATGATAGAGCTAAATTGATTTTTTTGTGCGTTATTAGATTGAAAATAATATAAACAGATATTGCTTTTTAATAGAATTAATATCATTAAAAAATTCATTTAAATGTCTATTCATACGGAATAGATTAGTAGTCAAGTGTAACTTTTTAAATTAAATACTCCGTACTCCATACGAAATGGATCAACACAATTAAAAAAAATTAAAAAGTAAAAAAAATTGAAGTTGATGCAGAGAATTATGCACTATTTAATTATTGATAAAAAAATGCAGTAATTGAAATTTATACTCGAGTTTTATATTGGTAGTTCATTTGTGGTTTTTTTTATTTATTTCCATTGTACCCAAAAACTACTTATAGTAATCATATACATATTCTCAACTATATAGATGGATTGGCTACGAAGGCCCTATTTAGGAATAACGTTAGACATTAACATTAGCGGTTTGAAAAGGCTATCCACGAACAATGTTTAACAATATTTTTACAAAGTAATCTGCACTGTTGATTTTTCATCCAAAACACTACCGCTAATCTCTAGGGTTATTTTCAAACAGGCCAAAGTATAATGAAAAATCTTTCTTCAAACTCAATTATTCCTCTCTCCTAAAATTAGTTTATAAAATAAGGATTCAGTAAAAAAAAAGTGAAGGTTGCAACCATATTTTTACACTGTTTAATTTTTTTGATACTAACACTCAATGCCAATAATATTGGGTAAAATATTGAATCATTTGAGAAAACTGCAATGCTGTACAAGTCAAACAATTTGTGCATTTCTTTGAATGTTAAGTTTCTGTCATAGATATTAGATTCATATAATAATGTATGGGACTTACACATAAGAAAACTAATAGAAAATTAGAAATGAATTAAATAAATAAATATCATAACATTATAAAATATTTAAATTACTCCCTTCGTCTCAGTTCAAATAGTTTGTTACGATTTACGATATTTGACTGAAGTTATTTTTAAATTATTTTATATGAAAAGTGATATAGAATTAAAAAATAAAAATTACATATTTAAAAACTAACACATCAAACAAGCTTATCATTTACGAGTATATTTAAACTCTCATTTAAAAATTATTTTAGATTACTTTATCTTTTTTATTTAAGTCACAAATACTCCTGGTCACATCCGCTTATCACTAATTAAATCATAATTTTAAACATATCCAAAGAACTTTGTTCGGGATTTCAAAATTCATATGATTTTTACCAGATATTAAAATTTATGTCTTATCATACCTCCAAAACTTATCAAATGAGCCTTTAATGTGTACGGTCCAGGGTTATTTGTACATACGGGATGTAACATTTTAACGTATAATCCTGTGTAAATTTTTTTTGTAATATGGAATGTATTGAAGTTGACAATTTCACGAAATTTTACATACCATCTTGAATTTGATTGCTTTTTTACTCCCTTAACTTGTCGGGATTTAGCTATCAACTTTCTCTTTTTTTTCGCACCGTGGTTAATTCGTTGTCCTTTTTACCATTTTTAACTAAAGAAATTATAGAAACTTATCAAATTATCCTTTAAACACGTGTTAGCATTGTTCTCATTAATGAAACACAAACTATTTTTAACATGTTATTTGCCATCAGTAGAGACTCCATTAAGTGTTATGTTAATTTACCATTGGTCCTGAAATTTGAGGTACATCAGCAGGTAAACATTGGCTTGCCATTGTGAAATCTATGCAGGTAAACAACGCTGGAGCTCCCGGAGTTGTCGTTGACGAAGAAGCCTTAAGGGCTATGGACATAGCCCCTTCTGATTGGGTAAGAGTGTGAGATAACTATTTCACTAATATAAATTCCCTTCATCCCAAAATGATATTCCTGGTCGGTTTATGATGTTTGATTGAATTTATTATAAGCCAATATATTTAAAAATTGGTGTATAATCAGAAAAAATGTTATGAACTTCAAAACTACATAAAAAGGCAAGAAATGACATAATTAAATTATTTTATCGAAGAAGTAACGAAAATAACCAAAATATGTTATCTAGTTCTTGCAAATTGACATGACTCATGAGACACACAACTAGGCCACACGGCATTTGGATCAATCACACTAAAAGGTTGAATCTAAATGATTATCTAGTTCAACTCAAAACCTCCGGGCCAGCATGGTCTCATGAACTTGTTTTTCATACCAAAGCTTGCAGGGAAAGTTGTAAATCTGATTCAGGGCGTAGTTAAGACGACATATGAGAAGGCGAAAGAGTGCCTTCATACAAATTACTATGGTGTGAAGAAGGTAACTGAAGCACTCCTTCCCTTGCTGCAACTCTCTACTGGAGGGGCAAGGATAGTAAATGTCTCTTCTTTAAGGAGTGAATTAAGGGTAAGTAGAGTAACACTTCCCATGACTTTTTACTCACTCCGTTCCAAATTAAGTCACGTGTTGTTTATTATTCACATGGTCAAACTTCATTCACTTTTTTATACTTATTTTCGTTACTCAATAATATTGTCATGTCACCTCTTGTTTTGTACTCCCTCCGTTCCACAAAACCCTTCCTCTTTCGTTTTTTTAATTCCTTAAAACATTTCCACTTTCTATTAAAAAACCATTTTTACCCCTACTTTTTCATACCCTACCTATCACATCATACTTTTTCACGCATGTAATCTCCTACTCCCCCACCCCCCACCCTCACACACACACATTTCTTTTTCTTCCCTAAGGGCATGTTTGATTGGTTGGAGAGACATGAATCGGGAAAGGAAGGGGAATATTTTGTATCCCATGTTTTAAAAAATGTTTTGAACCAACCGAGGAACATTCCCACCCTCTAACCAAACACATCCTAAACTCAAACCAATGTGTTTATCTTGTTGGGCATTAAACAAAACTCATTCTTAATCTCTTCTTGCAGCAAAACTGGTCGCCGTTGGATACGGGATCAAGAAGTTGCAGATCATGATGACCATAGTTGATGACCTCGTCTCTGTCGATAAGCTCATTGAGGAGCGCCTCACAGTTGAGCCGATCAACGAATATGTGCAGAGCTGTGACATTGTCGCCTTCAACAAAATCTGAGCTGTATGATATCTTTTTGTCCCGTGTTATTTTCGGTTTGTCTTCTCAATTTTAGTACGATTTTTAAAGGAATCGCACCGCAGTTTGTTACTTTTGGATCCAACTTCCCAAAGTTAAATGAGTGAATCTGTTGCTATAATTTTGGTGTTTCTATCCAATTTCCCAATGTGCTACAATGCACCCACCCATGCCCCTAGTTAGTTAATACGCGTATTATACTTACGTACGTATAATACACGTATTATACTTGCGTATACGTATAAAATCATAATTACGTTAAAATACGCGTATTTTTAGCCGAACCGTATATACGCGTTTCTTTCCGATAACCAAACCCAATTCACAACCTACAGCCGCTCAAACCCTTTTCTTATTTCCCGTCTTCCCGATCCAAATTCCATCCCGTATCTCTATCGAGGATCGACCATTTGCTGGAATTTCCGCTGAATCGGTGTCCAGTGTCCACAACGAGAAGACGCCGGCGATTTCCCAGTTCCTCTTCGGTCTGATACCAGCAGCGACCGGCCTTTGGTTGTTACTCTTCCTCTTCCTCTTCGGTCTGATCACTTAGCCGGCGATTTCCTCTCCCTCTTCCTCTTCGGTCTGATCACAGCAACATACCTGGTGAGTCTTTAGAGTTTTTTCATGTTTTTTATCATCAAATTTCTGGATTTTCTGCTGCGTTTTGGCATTTGGTTGCAGTAGGATTATCTCAAACCCCCAAATCCCTAATTCCCAATTGTATATTTAAAAGCAATCTGTCAATCTTAAATTTATTTCCCAAAAAAAGTGGCTAATAAATAGCTAATCGACTATTTTGTTTGTGTTTGTTACTAATTAGGGATTTAACTCTTGTGGCTGAGAAGATTAATTGTTAAGTCACACACTCATTAATTTGTGATAGAATGGAAAAGTTTTAATTTCTTAATTTTGATACATAATTGGTCATTAGACTCATTACTCAGTAATTGAGTGCTAAGCTAATTTGGTTTATTTTTGTAGAGTCATGGTTAGAAAGAAGGATCCACTTTGGGTACATGCTACCGACATGAATGGTAAATTTGAATGCAAGTACTGTAAACGAATATATTCTGGAGGTTTAACAAGATTGAAGTTTCATTTGTCTGGATTAAAAGGTAATGAAATTGAGATTTGCACACAAGTTCCAAAAGACATAGAAACTCAGGTGTGTGAAACACTTACACAGACCTCTAAAAGGCTTAGAGTTGAATCTAGCACAACAAACTTTAGAGTGGGTGGTTCTACTATATCTTCTCATCCGTCATTGTACCAGACTACCATGCCTGAAATGGTTAAAAAAATGGACAAGAGTGATGTAGATGACTTGCTTGCCACGTTTTTTATTCAAAATAATATTGCATTCAATGTTGTGCAACAAAAGTCATTCATCAATCTTGTTAAAGGAATTGCAGATTATGGACCAGCCTATAAATTGCCAAGCTATTCAACTTTAAGGACCAAACTTATTCCAAGAGCAAAAAAAAAGTTGATGAATATGTTGATGAAGTAAAGAAATCATGGGAGGTTTCAGGTTGTTTCATTATGTCTGATACCTGGACTGATCTTAAAGGAAGATGCTTTATTATTTTTATTGCATCGTTCCCTAAAGGTTCAGTTTTTCTAAAATCGGTTGAGATTTCTGAAGATAAGAAAACTGGACTGTTTTTAAGTCATTTGTCCTCTAAAGTCATTGATATGGTAGGACCTCAACACGTTGTTCAATTCATCACGGATAATGGTTCAAACTTTGTTTCTGCTCGGAATATGATTGTGCAACAGTATTCTATGATTTGCTACAACAGGTGTGCAGCACATGGGATTCAATTGCTTTTTAAAGATATATATGACCAAGTTCCCTGGGTTCAAAGTGTTGTTGATAATGCTAAATCTATTCAGGCATATATGTATCGCCATACTATTATTACTGCTTTGATGAGAAAAGTTACAAATGGACGCAAATTGAAAAAGCCATGTGCGACTAGATTCGCTTCTAATTTTCTTGTGGTGCAGTCTTCGCTTGGTCTTGAGAATGAGTTACGTCTGTTTGTGGCATCTCCAGAATGGAGAGATTTGTCTTATTCTAAGTCACGAGAGGCTATTAGTGTGACTGGACTCATCCAAAGTGATGCCTTTTGGTCTGAAGCAAAAGAACTGATACAAGCTTTAGAACTACTAGTTCGTGTTCTTCGCTTAGTTGATGGTGAAGGTTCTACTTCTGGATATTTATACCAAGCAATGGAGTTGGCCAAGGATGAGCTCAAGAAAAGGGTTGAAAAACGTAGTGACAAATATGAGAAAATGTTGTCATTATTTGATACGAGAAGGAAAGAGAATATCATTGATCCTATTCATGCATTTATCGCTACTCTCGACCCATTATTCCTTAGTAACACGAACTTTAAGCAAACTGTGGAGATGAAAAAAGGTATGTTTTCTTTGCTTGAAAAAGTTATACAGCCTGTTGACAGGAAGGAGATTATACTATGAAGCCTTCCTCTCTATTCAATGATGCCACATACAACATGATGACAGCATATCATCCTCGTAAGTGATTTAATTATTTTTAATTCTCATAGCAATATCGAGATTATATTATGAAGCATTCTTCTCATGGTGTACTTAATTGCTTGTAGTACTATTTTTGAAATCTTGAATAAAGTTATATAGATTAACTTCAATATTATTTTTCCTTGAAATTTGCATTGAAAAAAAGTAGTTAGCATTAATTGATGCATCGCATTTGGTATTGCTCTTACTAATGACTAATGAGCATTTACATTATTCTTATTTTTAATCATTTATTCATTATATATGTTTCTTACAAGGTATTTGGTGGGAATTTTGTGGTGACTCTCAACCAGTACTTCAAAAATATGACATTCGTCTTTTGAGTCAGCCTTGTAGTTCATCTGCATGTGAGCGTAACTGGAGTGGCTTTGAAGCTGCTCAAACAAAGAAAAGGAATCGACTCACCCCAGACATGCTAGGTCTTCTTGTGTACTGTAGGTTGAACACACTCATGATGCAAAATGCTGAGGAAAAGATGATTAAAGATTCCAATCCAATTGATTTGAGCAAGTTGAGAGAATGGCCTGATTATGGAGAGGTAGAGTCATACTCTCATATTCTTAATGGTAATGAAAACAATGAGGCTTGTGAGAATTCAATGGAAGATCCTAACATTGACAATGGTATGGATGATGCTGGACTTCTAGAATTTTGTGAGACTTATGTCAATGATGATGATGATGATGATGATGATGTTTTTGCTGATTTTGGTGTTTTAGATTAATTTTGTAGTTGCTCTAGATTTTCTATCCTACTTTTCATTTTGAACATTTGTTGGATTAAGACTTTATTTTTTATTGACATAAAGATTGTATGCTCGCACTTTACTGTTTTGGATTTATTTCAATTTAAAGCATGATTGTTGATTTTTTATTTACTTTATTATTAATTTTTTTGTGAATAAATATGTGCATAGTATAAGACGTATTTTATAATTAGGAAACGTTTAATACACGTACGTATGCGTACGCACGTTTAGTACGTATGAAACATATCATAAGACGTATTTTATAAATTTTTAACGTATTATACACGTACGTACGTATTTCCGTATTAAGCTTTTGTCGTATATAACTAACTATGCCCATGCCTCCTTTGCTGTCTCCCTATTTAAAGTATTATTTAACCTTTTCTCCTTTTTTTCTTTCCTCTACGTTGCTCTGGCTGTGCTATTCCGCGGCAGCGACCCGCCGACTCTCCTCTCCCTTTTCTGTGCTCTCCTTCCTACAAGGCAAGTAATATCTTCCTTTTCTTATCTTCCTCTTCATATCTCTGATGCGTGAATCCCTGTAGCACGACCATTCCTCTATCAATCTCTTCTCTTCATTCCATTTTTAGTCAATTTCTATAGCAATAATTTTTTGAATTTTTGTAGAGTACATAGGGTATTTGGTGATTATGGACTTACAAACATCTATTGTTACACATGTTGAGAATGATCAACCCCATGATTTTGGTGGTGAAGAAGAAGACCTGGTTTTATATAAGTTGCAGCCCAGTTGTAAGTGTTTATATTTAGACCCCATTCTATATACATTTGAAGTAGTGAAAAAAAACTGTTTTGTTTTAGTGTTACAGAGATTAAAGTTCTGTGAATCTAGGGTTTGTCCTTTTCACAGATGCTAATAATCTGTATGCACTCTGCATTTGGTGTATTTTTTTCTTCATAGTCAGGCACTGTATTATATTAAAGGAACTATTTTTGCAGCTTTTGAACCAGATTTGTTTCTTAACGATCCTTGATATCAGTATTTATTTAACGAAGAAGGGCAAGAACAGGCGAGTGGTGAGATCGGACAGAACACAGATGACATTAACAATGATGTCCGGAACAATGGTCAATGTCCTTCTAACAGTTGGAACAGTTGGAACTACTTCTCCATCATATTAACTGGTGAGAAGTTTCAGAGATCTTTTATGCAGCCTGTAAAAATTTAACATTTTTTGCAGTTTAACATTTAACTTTTAACATTTTTATGTAGATCCAGAGATCTTCAACCTTACAATTCTCCTTGCACTGTAGTCTCTTTTATGCAGCTTCAGAGATCTTTTAACATTTGCAGCCTCTAAATTCTATCCATGACCAGTCATGAAGCCTTGCACTTGGGTGTATATTAAGGAGATCAAGGTAGATGCTATATATTCCTTTTCCATTAATAGAGATTTACATCCAGTTTACTTTGTAATACCAGGGTCTAGGACTTTCATAAATATCTAAAAAAATTGGGTGATTCATTAACACTTTGACATCGACATGAGAGGGAATTCCAGTTGCTGATTAGTTACTGTATTCTTCTTCCTCTTTGCATAATTTTGTTCTCAAATGTTCTTTATCCTGAATTTGTATTAATCGTTTTATTTAATGTTGACATTATAAAAAGAAAGTGATTCTTTCATACTTTTGTATATGACTTTGTTGTTAATCTTTTAATGTTTAATTTATAACCAGACCCTAATTCTCTCTTTAAGGCTTATTAAGGACATTTTCTTCTTATTAACTAGTTTATGACTTTATGTTATTAATTTTTTAACAATCAATTTCTTCCTTCACATTTTCTCTTTCTTCTACTTGTAAATAACTCTACAACTCACTGAATTTTATCTTTTGCACCCAGGTTTCCACCCGTTCCCTCAATGTGTAATCCTAGGGTTCCACTGCTCAAAAAAAACATTCATCTCTTTCCCCAAATAGCACATGTAATAAATCTAATGAAAATAATTAAGAAAAGTATTCTTACTTTGCAGATGGTCCGACAACACTGGATGCGGAATCAATTGCCTCCAGGAGTAGGAGCTTTAGCTGAATTTGACGTTTGTGATTATGCTCCAGAACAGGTTGTGGATTCATCGTAGATGCCGGAGAAGAAGAACAGAGAAGAATGACGATGAGGTTGTGGAGGTTGAAGCCGAAGAAGAGAGATTTGGGAATTTTGGGGGCAGGAGACGAAAAGTCACCCAAAATAGGAAAATTGAAAAAAAAAATTAAAAATTAAATAAATTTGGTGGCATGCTTGGAGGCACACGTGGTGCCTCTTTAGCATTTTTCTTCTCTATTGGCATATGCTCTGTGCATCGCCTTTTGTACCAAGAGCAATGTACCAGCTATTGTACTTGTACTATTAAGTTGAAAAGAACCCAATCTAAGTTAATGAAAACGTGCCCAAATTATATGCTTTTTCAAAAAGTAAGACCAAAATAAAACTTTCAACCCTACAAAGGGATAATTACAAAAAAGGTTTTTTTTTGATGAAACAAAAAAAAAAGTATTACTCCCTCTATCCCAAATTATAATTTCTATTTTCCTTGTTCGTCCGTCCGAAAATGATATGCATGTTTTCTTATTTTGTATTATTATTTATGTAGAGTTCCCAAAATATTCTCCCATGTAATTACTCCTACCCACCCTTTCTTACTCCTACCCAGCTTAAAAAATTAAAGTGATGGGCAATTTTAGAAAGTCAACTTTAATTTTTTCCTTCCTTAAATATGATCCAAAATAAGCATTATAAATTAGGACGAAAGGAGTGCTAGAGTACTACAAAGTATTTTATTAAATTATATTTCATACAAAGTATTAAAGTACATGATTTTGAAAAAGTCAAGTCAATTTTCTCAAATTTGACCCATTTTTAGTGGGTCGTTTTAAGTTCGATCATCCTTAGGTTCTGTCAACAACCTTTAATCAAAACCAATATTTGATAAAAGTTATTTTGAAAATTTACATTGAAGAATCGAAATTAGTTTTGAGAAGACCATCTCCATTCTCTAAGCTCATAAAAATAGACTTAGGGGCTGTTTGGCAACTTCTAAATAGATAATGTTGAACCAGTAAGAGGTCTGAACCATTAAGTGGTGAACCAGTAAGAGGTCTGAACCATTAAGAGCTAGTATATTGTTTAACTATTCAGAGACAAATGTCTGATCAATTCAGATAAGAGCTCTTAACCATTCAGACTCTGTATAATACTTAACCATTCAGAGGCAAATCTCTTAACCATTCAGACATCTGAACCATTAAGAGGCTGAAACAAACAGTCTGAACCATTAAGTGCTGAACCATTCAGACATCTGAACAATTAAGAGGCTGAAACAAACAGCCCCTTAATAAAAAGCCAAATGACAACCCTAACCAAACATAAGACAATCCGTTCGGAAAATTTATTGAAAAACAAGACCCCAAAATCTTTGATCGGAGCATGGAAAGATGAATGTGGCATATTATGGTTATATATATATAGAAAAGAAACTCCAATAAAACAAACCGCTCATCATTTCTCTTGGTCGGCTGCCTCCTCTTCCTTCTTCTGGTAACGGCGCTTGAACTTGGCAATTTGGCCAATGCTCTCAGCCATTTGGCGCCTGGCTCTGAAGTGATAGACCTTTCCCACTTGGTGTATCTTGGTCATCATCACTGGCATCAATCTCCCACTCTGTGTCACGTACGATATCCATTGCATCTGAGGATGGACTCCCTTCTTCATTCTCCTTTTTCCTTAAAAAAAACACACATTCCACTT